AGCCCGATGCGGGACTCGATCCAGGGACTCCGGGATCATGACCTGAGCCGAAGGCAGTCGCTTAACCAACTGAGCCACCCAGGCACCCCTCCAATACCCTTTGTCTTAAAAAAAGAAAAACTCTGTTGCTACCAAAGCTATGATCTACTCCAGCAGTCAGGATTCTTTCTGCCTATGTCCTAAAGGAAAGTGTTTATTGGTACAACTATATGTCTATTGTTAGGAAAACACACACTGAGGGTCCCAGAATATGCTGTATTTATTTAGAAAAACAAAAGGAAATGATAAGGACACTCTCTTGGATGACACTATTATTCTCCAAAGAATTTTAAGTGTATACCTTTTACACCAAGAGATATTAAGAATCAGCTTCTTGCTGAAGTATAGGATCTTGTCTTACATTCAGTAGTAGAGAAATGGACAAATCCCATTTGGAATTGAGAACAGGAAAGGGTGACAGGTTAGAGAGGCTCAATTTTTAAAAAAGGAAAGTAAAAGTGAAGTAAGAAGGAGTGACAGGGCAGTTCAAGGATGGGAGTGAGACATGAAAATAACGAAGAGGCAGTCATGAGGAAGGACTGGCCCCTACCTTCATCCTCACTTGACTTGCTCAGCTGCTTCACCAGTTTGGCTGTGTTGTTCTATGAGAGATGGGGAGAAAGGTTAAGTACAAGGAGGAAAATGAGTCGTCTCGGAGCTAAGAGCTGCACAAATTCATGCACAGTTTCTTTTTTGTGAGACTTTATTTTTAAGCCGTCTCTACACCCAAGCGTGGGGCTCAAACCCACAATCCCAAGATCAAGAGTCGCACACTCCACCAACTGAGCCAGCTGGGTGCCCTGCCCACAACTTCTTAATAGTCCCTAACTGCGGCCACCACTACTGTAGTACTTTACCATTTACAAAACCTTTGTAGGCACAATCTTAATCCTTAAAACAACCAATGTAGATAGGTACAATCATTCCCAACGATAGACAAGAAAACTGAGGCTCAAATACCTGAACTGCCCTAACCACACACCTATTAATGTACATAAACCAAGTCTTCTGATACTGAATTCCTGTTTTTTCTACCACTCTCCTGCACAGGCCCAAGAATGCAACCACATCAGAGTCCGTGTATTTTATCTATTAGGCTAAAGCAAAAAGGAAGCACTAGTGTTGTAGAGACTTAGGGTACCTGCTTGAGATGGTCCACAGTGAGCGGGAGGTGCTGCAGGGTCAGCAGAATTTGCTGCAAGAGGGGAATGTTGTTGGTTGTCTTTGAATAGGTCAGCCAACTGTTAAGCAGCTTGTAGCCACCAACATCAATAAACCTGCAGACAGGTAGGAGAATCTGTAATGCCCTTCCTGGGTTTTGGAGTGCCATGTCCCATACTCCTAGTCCCCCATGCCTCCCCTCACCCACCTTCTAAGTACATCTTCCCAGCCCAGCCACCCAGATCCCCACTTACTTGACCAATATTTCTGGTGACTGGGTCTGCAGGAGAATGTTCAAGTAAGTGCATCGACTCACCATCTTTCGTGCTTCCTTCATCAGGCTGTAGGAGAGAAATTAAGGTTAAAAATGGAGCAAGAGGCTCTTCTTTCAGCAGAACCATCTCTGATCTGTGGGAGTGCCTAAAAATCCCTGATGACTTGGGACTTTGCCACAGAGTGGGAAGGTCACACAAGCCTCTCGGGGGATGGGATGGATCCAGAGTGAAATGGAATCCTATGAGAAGATGGAAGACAACTGAGGAGACACTGAAGTCTGTGATCTGGGGAGGTGAGCATCACTGCTTCCCTAACCCACAGGCCACACTTGATTCTGCTTCCCAATGAAGTATCCTAGCACTAACAGCCATCCATTTGTAGTCTGTTCAGGACTGGCTTAGTCTTTTGCCTTCCCCTGGGAAACTGGAGGATCCCTGAAGGAAGACAGCAGTTTGGGTATATAGAATGTGATCCAAAACAGAACCAAGAATTCTGTCACCTGGCTCCCCTGCTCCCTTCCTTCCAAAGCGTGACTTCCTCGAGACTGTGGATATCCAAACCCCGATTCCATTATCGCGAGGAACCAAGGGATCACCTTTTCCTATCTAAAATTACTGGATACCAATCTTACTCCACTGACTCTTTCCCCTCCAAAAACACTCATTCTTGTCAGTCTTACTTATAGTGGTATTACAACATACAGTATCCTCTGCTCACAGTGAATCCAAAGATAAGCAGACTCACCTGAAGATCTTGGAAATCCCATCCACCGTCTTGACTTCCCCATCTCGGTTAAGGAAGCTATCCAGGCCCTTGAGAAGCTCTTTGGGATCTATGGGACCCGAACCCATGATCGAGGTTTCTAAGACAAGGACAAAATAAACCGACAGAATAAATGGGTGGCAACGACAGTCCCACTATACCCTCTAATAAATTCCATTTCTACAGTTGACAAAATTTTGTGACTAATTTTTCAATCTATATTCAACTACACTCACCATTTTCTAGGTAAGAAAAAACCAACCATCACTACCACAGAGGAAAAAAAGCCCTGGCAAGTTAAGCACGGTGTTAATACAGGACTCAATGGGAAGACAATTAGACTGGAGGACTGGGCAGCACACCTTTCTCTCTCCCTCCCAGTTACATCCTTTCTAGATAGCTGAACTTCACTAAATTGTTAGGGCTGAGTTGAGTTCCCATAACAAAACACTCAACATTCCAAGGTATTTCTGCTTATTGTTAGGTCCTATTTCTTCTTGGCTGCTGATAAATAAGCTTGAAAAAAAAAAGCCTATAGCTTGATAAGAACTGGGACAATCTTGGACACTTGGGCTAAATGTCTTCTAAGATTAGTCAGTTACTTTTTATCTTAGTCTATTAACAGTCACAGTCACCTCAAGCAGAATATGCTCTGTTTGCACCAGGAGACAATCAGCTAAAGTGGTAAGTGATAAAAACTTGAAAACATAATCTTTCCCTCAAGAGAGTTGTGGGTAGCTCCCAGAAATGGAAACAAATGGATATAAAGAAAATCAAGCAGGTACTCCTAAGCCGTGAAGAGAACTGTCACTCATTAACCAAATACTGCACAAATTTTTATTGTTTTAAAGTTAAGACTGCTTTGTAATTTCAAAAGCAAAGATGTGCATTTGATTACTACTCCTCTCCAAAATCACACTACCATCCAAGATCCCCAAAAGAAAGGCCTGAAATTAGAAACCACGGAGCCAAAATAAATGGAATAAAACTGGAAGCTGGAAAAATGCCATTAAATTTTAAGTAGCTACTTTAGACCAGGTTAGAAAAGGAGCTCATTAAAAGCTAAACTGCTGTTATAGAATAAAGTGTGAAGCAATTTCTAGGCCAAAACCCAAGGTAATTTAGAATCAATGTGGCTCTGACTGGGATTTTTATGCCTCTAAACACAGGCTTCTGAGAACCGAAAAAGAAAGCTACCTCAGTAATATTTGCGTTTGGAATGTAAGGTTAATGCTGGGTAGAAAGGAGGCAAGAAGAAAACAATTTCTTGCCTTCTGCTTATAGTACAGATAACAGACATGATCCCAGCAGAAGGGTGGGAAAATCAGTGTTTTACAAGCTGTGTTTTGTGCAGAAAAGAGAACAAGTTTCTTATAAAACAACAAAAATTTGTTCTATTTGTTCTCAGACAAATCAAAAAAGAAAAACAAGCATAACAATCTCAACCTTTTAGTCCTCCCAACAAAAAGGCCAATAAATTTCTAAATAGACAGGCCCTAACCACCTAGGGAAGCAGCAGCAGAAGCAGGGAAGAGGCTGGTGCTTGAGCTCTGTGGGCTGAATACGGAGAGGAGGTAAAAAACGCTGAGGTGGGCAACTCTGGGTTAAGTGTGCTATTGCACCTGCTGTGGGACCTCCACAGGGACGGGGAGAACCTGCGGTCAGAGGAGAAATACTGAAGTAGAATACTGGATAAGATTAGAAGCCCATGGGCCAAATCCACTGAAGTGCGGTGATTCTTACAAAGACAGACACGGAGAGAAAGGCATTCCTCCCATGTAGTAAGACACCACACAGGGATATAATATAGACACTATACCAAGAGATACATACACAGATACAACAAAGGGATAAAACAGACTTCCCATCTATTGGAGATTGGAAAAGCAGTGAGTGAGTCCAAAGTAATACATATCATCAGCAACCACAATATACACAATGTGACAAAAATTAAATTAACATCACTTCAAACCAGCACCACCGCCCCCACCAGGCCAAATACTGCTGACCCGACTGATTCACACCCAGAGTAGATATACATCACCTTGGAGAACTACCTTTTGCATATCCAAGTACGAGCTGAGCCAAAAGGACTGCTACCCCTACTTCCTTCAGAAACTCAAAAGTGTCACCTGAGCTCAAATGTTCCTCTTCACGTAAGAGGGTGGGAAAGAAGAGAGAATAACCATCCCCAGAAAGAGACCAATGAGTACAAAGCTAAATTCTGTCCAGTGCCCTCTGCTAGGAATGGGACCCAGGGACAACTTTTTCATTCCCATTTACAAGCAAGAATAGTCAGGGGAAGCTAGAAGACAAAGCAGAAATGTTAAATATTCATTCCCCACTAATATTTTTCCTATAATTTATATTTTGGAAATACAATTAATAGAACTAAGTTTCGTCTCACAAGTACCAGTCGAGACAAAATGTAAATGGGTTTTTTCATGGTTTTCCTAAAGGCAAATTAGTTGACTCATTTAAAATTAAGGACTCCAAGTGTCTTACAACCAAATTTCCTTACTTCGCAGTCAGTACATTTTGAAAGAAGCTACAAGGCACTCAAGTGGAAAGGGATGAAGAGCCCAAATTCCTGGCACAGGCCTACAGTGGAAAAGGCAGAGTTGACCAGGGAAGGAGGGGCAGTAACCAAGTGTCAACATTACCTAGTCCTATCTGGAGCCTGGAAAGAACGCTTAAGGAAGCTTTCTGGAAGCAAAAATAATCTAGGGCATGGTATGTTTGCTTTTAATTTCCTTGAAGATAGAACATACAGAAGGGGTAGGGGGGGAGGCGAACCCCCCAGCCTTATCTCCACCTTGTCCTACGCTGTGCGTTCCTTCTCATGGAGGATTTTGTAGAGATGAGCACTGCTGACACACACAAGGCCCTGGGGAATGTTCTACATTCCTTACCAGAGAGAAACTTCAAAGTTCTTAAGTGACACCAACTCCTGCCTCCCAAAGGAGTTTTACTTGAGAGTTATTAAATTAACAGGGTGAAAAATATCTAGCTTGGTCAAAGTTACTCCATACCCATCACCAAGAAAAAAGAACTTAATTGGTTCAGGACAAAATCCCTATGCAAATTGGAGCCCTTTTAAAAACAATCATTAACACTTGTAACAAAGGAGGAAGGAGTCTGAATTTACCTTAACTTAGAAGCCTTAGCACTTCAGGAAATGAAAATGCTTTGTACCTGACCCCTGACATTCCCCTTCCTTTTCTTAGGTGTTTGAGGTTATGTCCTAATATGACTCAGTGGACTGAATTAGGTCTCTCAGGTGATGCACGAGGTCTTACCTCTCCTAAGGAGTAAGCCCCTACCCCTCAAACTCACTTTGAAAACCTGGTACAGTGGTACAGTGATCTCCCCAAAACCTTATCTGACTCTCAGTGAGAATGTACAATCACCGCCCCCCCACCCAGCCCCAGCGATCCCAGAATATAACTGGCCACAAACTACAAGGATCAGGTTCTCCGAGGTTCTCTGGATGGATGTGGTTTCCCTAGAAGACCTTGTTTCCCCATCTCCCATGTTAAGGAAGATCTTATTAATCCCCTGTTCACTAGAGATCAGGAACCCCAATGGGTGGAATATTCAGCTCCCAAGGAAGGTATGCTGCAGAGGCACAGGGCAAACTGCTTAAAAGATAAAAAACTTGCGGTCAATAGACATGTGGAAGAGTCCCTCCCACCCAATCCAGAAGTTTAAGTACTAATTTGAGAATCCGTACCCAGCAGAAAATTAGCCCTGAAGTCTCACCAAGTCACCAAAGGACAGCTGTACAAAATGGCTTTCCAATTCTGCCTAGAACCTCCACACTTCAAATCAGGACTTTAAAAAATGAAAAGTATATGGAGAGTCTGACAAAGATTTGACTTTGAAAAAGTTGGAGGAAGATAGAGAAGGGACAGGACACCCAATACCACCCTCAGATTGGGCATGGCTTGAACATGCACCCATTGCAAAAGCACTGCACGAGTTAAAAAATGAAGAAGACATTATTCTCCCATTAATGTTTTTAAGGAATTTCTTTCTAAAGGGAAGGAAAAAGAAATTCAAAAAAGGTGGCTCTTTGGAAAAAAGAAATGAAGGTTGTGAAATGTAATACCAGAAAGGTTTTGCTTACCAGACACCGTAGCTCGCATCCCCCTGCCTTGAGTTTACAACTGCCGCCTCCTTTCCTATTCACTTCTCATCCTAGTACCAATGTAGAGGAGCTACGCAACTGGAGAACGTGATACAGCACTGAACACAAAGAGCTTATCCCCAAACCCAGAGGTGGGAATAAGGGTGATTTAAAAGGAAGTCCTGAAGTACCCACCCTCCCCCAGTCTCATTATACAAAGCGACCAAATGCAGGCCCAAGGACTAGTTCCTGAGCAGCAATGGCACAGTTCAGTGTCATTAGGCCCCATTTGTCTATTCAAGTCACTTTCACAAGTCCTCCTTCCCCCACTATCCCCCACCACACAGATCTACATACACACAGCTCACACACACACCCCACCAGAAGGCTCCCAGTCTTAAAGTATAGTTGGTTTGACTGGTTTTCCACCCCTGGCAACTGAAGCGGGGAAAATTTCCAAGCAGTTGTGATGAGTGAAGGAAGGTGAAAATAAAAGCAACAGGCTCTGATTGTTAAATATAAAAACTAGAGCTGCCCAGGAGATGGACAACTTCAAGACCTAATTCCTATAAGCTTTTTCCTCTTAAGATTATAAAAGATATTCTAAAGAAAAGGTCTTTTCCTGTCTAGCAGCAGCGTGCACAGGAGTCCAGAAAGCATCTGCTCAGGGGTGGAGTTTCAAGAGGGTGGAGAGGAAGAAAGCTGATTACATCACCTTTCCATGCTGCTCCTCCCCCTTGACCAAGTTTCTAGGGCGGCCCTAAGCTCGGGATGGCAAAAGAGGGAGAAAAAAACAACAAAGAAGCAGGGACGACGCCATTTTGTAATGGAGAAGAGGAAAACTTAAAAAAGCTATCCCGGCACTGCCGGCAGCTAGTTACAGCAAAAAACACCCTTTTTCAGTAAAATACCCCAAACCAGCACCCATCCTGAATGGTCTTTGACCTAATTTGAGTAAGAGAGTTGTGAAAATAAAACCAATTAAAATATTTAAAAGAACAACTTTCTGCGGGGAGGAATTGAATTTGCAATTGAGGTTCAACCTGCTACCATCGACCACCCCCATCCTCCCTATAAAGGGAAAGGGGGGAGGATTTGGACCCCTCTCAACAAATAGGGTTGAGGTGGGAGGACAGGAGAAAAATGGGCCAAGAAACAACCTGCAACGCCGCTTGGAAGACAAAAGGACAAGGAAAAGTCGCCATATTGAAGCAGGGAAGAAAAAAATTCCTTTTAACGACACAAATCCTTTAGAAAGCTAGCATTCAATTGCACTAAATGGCTTTTAAAATTACTCCTGAATTCCACATTTCCCAACCTTTCCACCCCCTATTAGACTGTATTACCACCCACCAAAACGTATCAAGTTAAAATGTTAATCACTTTTGCTCTTAAATAACCTATGCAACCTGCAACAATTACAAAACATTACCTCCCCATTATCTTGTATGTACTGGCACTAAGATTATATTTTGTACTGAATTAAGTGTCTTGCAATCTTTATTCCTAGATTGCCACCTATTTTAACCACACAAATATACCCCAAGCAAATTACATTAAAATTGAGAGGATTTAACAATCATTTAAAAAGTCATAGCCAGCTATTATTTCTCTGCCCATCTCCTTACCCTGCAATCTTTATGTACAGATTGCTTATTAATCTGGCAAATTGAAAGGCGCCCTGCTTGTCTCACACACAAAGAAGTGGGACTTCTGGGCCACAAGATCCACCATCTTTTGTATGTGAGCTCATTAACCCTTTTGAAGACTGCTAACAAGAGGAAGTTAACCATTCCTCCTTATAAAAAGCAAACACTTATGGCTTTGGCAGTCTGGAAATTGGCTGGATTACGAAGGGTTAACCATCAAAATCCTCACTTGCTGGCCCTCCCGCCACCCTTTCCTTTCCTGCAGCAGGGCAGGAAGGTAGGTGGTAGGGGAGAGAGAACAAGACTGTTTAAGACCAAAGGCCCTTTTTTAATGGAGATTAAGTGACCGGCTTGGTCCTTCTCCAGTTCTCTATTTTGTTCTATTGGCTCATTTCTTCCTCTCATTATTTTTGGTTTCACAACGGGAAACGTTGATTTCTTGTTGCAAGGCTGGTTTTGGAAAATTCGACACTTACTATCCAATTTTTTTGCGACGTCAGCACCTCGGGCTCAGGGGGGGAGGGGGTTAAAATTTTGGAGAAAAAAAATAAAACAACCAACCAGGACCCAAAACTCAATTATTTGGGGGGCCTCATTGGATCAAAAAGTCTCTTAAAAAAATGAAGGCCAACTCAGCATTCATTTTCCCCCCACCCAACTCCATTTAGGGAGGGGGGATCGTAGAAAAAAAGTTCTGAGTGGATTCAAAAAAGTAAACGCTGGATGAGTGAATTTGGGTGGGTTTGGGATGGGTGGGTGGTTGATTATTTTTGAAGTTATGTGGTGACGGTCCTTCGGCCACAGATTTCAAGTCCCATGCAGCGTGGGCTGGTGGGGTGGGCAAGATAGGTGGGAAGGGGCAGAAGACACAAGTGGTTGGGCTGGTGGCTGCTGTTTTCCCTTTCCCCCCTCAGGATCCTTTCAAGGGCTTAGATGGTGCTGCGGCTTGTTTCTTTTTTTTCCTCGTGGCCGGCCTGTCTTTCTCCGAGAAAATTCAAACCTGGGATAAAAGGAACACAAGGGAGAAAGATGTAATCAATACGGGTTGCTTTAAACACCCTAAGTACCATATTTGTTGTCTCCGAACACCTCCATGTCCCATCCCGAACACAGCCGCCTTCTATAAACCATGGTCCTTAACAGAACTCATGCCTAACCCCTGCCCCAGTCCAACGATCTTAACAAAACTTTACCCTCCAACCGACAAAACACCCAAACTTACCTCTAAACGAACCCCAGAATGGCGGCTGCCTGCTCGGGCGGAGTCTTTTATACCCAGACGCCGCCCAACGCGCCCAAACATGCTAGTGAAACGCCCTTGTCGCGAGACATTGTGCGCGAGGCGTGAATTCATTGGCCAACCCGAAAGACAACTCGCTAGCTGATTGGCTATCCTTCCTTCACCTTCGCTCAGCCCCTTCCCCCCAGTACCTTCTTCCGCCTCCTTCCTGGCCTCCCCCAAAAGCGCGTGACCGAAGAGCCCAGCACCTCCCTTTCCTCTGCTTCCACCACTTCCGTCCTCGAGAACACTTCTCACCCTGGTTGGTAGAACCGGGCCGGCGCATGCGCATTGAGAAGATGTCGGTAGAAATCTCCTTCAAAATTGCTTAAAACGCAAGCTCTAAGTATGAGATCTAGAAGTCGTAGTGACTGGTTCGAGAAAAAGGCAATTTTGAGGCCGAATTCGATTGTGACGCAGTTGAAATTGGCCTCTCCCCACAGCCCCCCCTTTACGCTTCCGTACTGACGCAAGTGCGCGGCCGCCTCCCGCACTGCGGGCTCGCCCTTGGCCCTACCCTAGCCAGTTTCTTGGAGCATGCGCAATTGCCTTTCCGGCCTTTCCTGCCTTGGGCGTACGTCAAGATGGCGGCCTCCGTATTGCGTTTATTGCTGAGGCGCCTTCCTAGCTTTTCGCCCTTCAGAGGTGCCTACGGAGTTCAGGTAACTCCTTGGAGCACATTTTTGTATAACCGCCACTTAGTTATACTTTCTCTAGGTCATCGCTCCATTGCTGGGAATCCAGGAGTGGAGACTTTCCCAAGTGCTTATTATGCCTTGGCTGTCTAGGCAACACTGCTTCTACCACCCTTTACCTTCCCCTCACCCTCCTCAATACTGCGCGGATTTTTAATCCCCGGCCAAGGGAAAAGAGTTAGATATCCTTTTCCACGCTACCAACTCGGCTAAAAAATTAGGGGAAGGATTGGGCCTCTTGGTCGTACACAACCAGCTCTTAAGTATGCATATAATGTCTAAATGTGTGATGCCCTGGAATGTCCTTGAGTTGAGGGACACTAACTTCTACCTGCTGAGCTATCTCCCGGTAAAGCCAGAATATGTTCTCACGACCTGGGGACCAGTTTCTTAGCTCTCTTTTTCTCACTAAATTAGTTTTGTTTGTTTTTTTAATCAGCGCATACATGAAACCTTAACTTAGTCCTTTAGATTGAGGTTTCCCTCCAGCCTCATGTACTCACCACACTGGAGGTTCTTGGTAGGGCAGGATAGGTTCTTGGGGTGGGCACGGTGAGATAGGAAAGCTTTCACAGCTGTCACTCCCTAACAGTGGTGACAGGGGTCACTACAGAGTTAATAACAGCCCTGGTAGCTTTAAAGCTAGCGTTAGGACTCAAGTTTGTTCTGATCTGTGGAATGTTGACCTTCAACTTTTGTAAGGCTGGGCAATTCAGTGATTCAGGGTTCGATTGGGTTGGAGACTCACCTGTCATGCATCCTCTCCCCACCAGACATCTTCCTTCCAAGAAGCTAGACACCCTCCCTTTTCCTTTCTTCTCCCTTTTCTTAGTACATCTTCAAAAGCACGAACACATCATGTGTGTCTTCTCAAATAAGACTGCTTCCCAGTCATCTATCCTAGTTACCCTCTCACATTAGCTTCTCCTTCAGGATCCACTCAGAGACAGAAAGAGTGGTTGTTGATCTAAGTTTTACCCTAAGAAAAATGTTACTTTCTATATATATTCCTGCTATATTCCATTAATACAATGGGCATGTTCTCGTCTCTAACATGTGGGCAGTGAAACTATCAGGTCCTTTCCTTGAACTCCTTTTCTCATTTTTTGCCTTTATAGGTTCCCCTCCAGACTCTTTGCACCAAAGGCCCCCCTGAGGAAGATTCTTTGTCCCCAGTTCCCATAACCCCTTATAAGAATGAACCCTGGAAATATCTGGACTCAGAAGGTACCTCTGAATGGGAAAGGGGAGGATTATGTGGAGTCTGAAATAAATGGACAGAGACACTTCTACCAACCCCACCAGGAATAACTTGTGTGGTCTTTCATTTCAGAATACCAGAACCGTTATGGTTCTCGCCCTGTCTGGGCTGACTACCGTAGAAACCACAAAGGTGGAATACCCCCACAGCGGACTCGAAAGACATGTATTGTGAGTTTCTGAAGGTGGTACATGGCTGGAATGTGGAGTGGGGCTGGACACCATAGTGACAGTGGCGGTGGCACTTTTTCTCACAGGACTTTGAACATTCTTCACCTACTAGTTTTTTCTCTCCACAGCGTAGAGATAAAGTTGCTGGGAATCCCTGCCCCATCTGCCGGGATCACAAGCTGCATGTTGACTTTAGGGTAAGGACAGTCTTTTTTCCAGGGTAAGGATTTGGAGCGTCTTTGTAGTGCTAAAGAGATTACCATGGGTGCCCCGCTCTTCTTCATAAATTAGTTTAGCACCCCTACAGTCCATTTTGCATTGACTTTCTAGTAGTATAAAAACATTCCTCTTTGCAGCCTTTTGTCCTCTACTGTGGCTCATACTAAATCTTCATTTCTTACCTATGAAGTTTACAGTCTAAATTGCGAGGCCAGAAAAATGTCTATTTCTAATGGGGGAGCAATATCCAAAGGTTCATTTATATCTGTTTGCAATTATTGGCAAGTAGATTGGGTTAGTTTTTTTCTGAGGTTTTTTTTTTTTTTTTTTTTTGAGAGAGTGAGGGAGAGAGAGCATGAGCGGGAGAGGAGCAGAGGGAGAAGGAGAAGCAGACTCCCTGACAAGCAGGGAGCCCAATGTGGGGCTTGATCCTAGGACCCCAGAATCATGACCCGAACCGGAGGCAGATGCTAACAGATTGAGCCACCAGGCACCCCTAAGGTTTTGTTGTTGTCGTTTTTAAATTTTTGTCATGTTGATGTTTGGTAGCATGCCAAGATTTAAGGCTGGAGGGCAGATACATGAAGCCAGATACAGAGTTTATTTTTCAAAAAGCGTTTATTGCAAGGACGGACAGGACTTGCTCCTTGAAGAGTTCACAAAGCATGTAAAAATAGTGATGGGAAAAATGCTCTTCTGAGCTTGCAGTAAAGGTATTGGAGCAGAAGCTGAATGATTGGTCATCAGGGGAGTTGGAAGGAATTCATATATCAGTCAGCAGATTGGGGTGTCTGACTGCTCTCAGGTCCCTTCTGACATCACTGTACAAGGGTCCCATAGATAGATAACTTCTCCATTTCAACTGTGTATGATTGGTTATAAAAATAGAACAGGCACCTGGGTGGCTCAGTCCGTTGAATGTCCGACCCTTGATTTCGTCTTAGGTCATGATCTCAGGGTTGTGAGAGTGAGCCCCTCATCAGGCTCCATGCTCAGCGGGGAGTCTGCCTGAGATTCTCTCCTTCTCCCTCTGCCCCTCCCCCTACTCACACATACACATACTCTCTCTCAAATAAATAAATCTTTAAGAAAAAAAATAGAATGGGGCGCCTGGGTGGCTCAGATGGTTAAGCGTCTGCCTTCGGCTCAGGTCATGATCCCAGGGTCCTGGGATCGAGTCCCGCATCGGGCTCCCT